TTCATATTTTTTAAAAAATTTATACTATTAGAACTTCTTATAAGAAATTTCACTTATATGAACTTCTATTAATCGTGAATAGTTTTTAATTAACTTAAATTAAGTAACTTGGTCTTCTCACGAGACAGTTAAACAATTTATAAATCTAAGTAATATGCATAAATCTATGTAATTTCAAAATCACTCTGTTTCATGATTCAACCTATATATGTTCATTTTTATGTAAATATTTTTACCCTCTTGGAATCTTGTCTATTTTGGTTGGATTTTTGTTGTTATGATTATCTTCTTTTTTATAATCCTTGTTAGCATCGTTTCAGTAATTGAACGAGTTTTTATTTTTCATTAAATTCTGTTTAAAAAAGACGAAAAAAAAATGACTCGTATGATTATAAATCGACTCAACATCATTTATCTTAATTTTAAAATAAATATCGAATTTGGTTAGATTTGATTAAATTTTTGAATTAAACATGTGTTAAATTCGAGTTTAGAAACCACCAAATCCAACTTAGTTGACGACCAACTTTGTAATGCTTCTTTTAGTTCATTACGTATATGTATTTTTTTTTAATAAAAAAGTTATATTTAAACGAGTTTAATGATTACGGGTACTTTTTGAAACGATAACAACTTATGAGTTATAATAGGACTTAAAAATATCTAATAGGATAACATAGACAGAAAATAAAAAAAATTGGGCTACCAATGTAATTTTGAAAAGATATGAGCTGAATTAGAAAAAAATAAAGATTTATTGGGTGAAATTTTAAATAACCAAAAAATTTGAGAAATGTTTGCAAAAAATCTTTTTCTTCATTGGGATGGAAATACTATTCTAATTATATCTGTCCGACGGAAGTTAATTCTCGATGGCAAGAACACAGCAAGTCAAACCCCAAAATAGCCACGAGAACATAGAAATGATAAAATTTGTGCAAAAGTATTTACAATTTTACAGTAAATTCCCTAAAGAAATTACTGATCTACGAACTCGAACAACTTAGTTTCAAACTTGGAGTCAGCTATTGTTATGTAAAAATTTATGTATAAAGTCAAAAAATCCGACATATATATATATATTACTCTTGTTTTAATAATACAATTAGAGATGACAAAGAGTCGGATTTGAGGTGGGTTTTATTGTAGCGCTCGGACCGAGGAAAAAAAAAAGCCACATCGGCAGCCACGTCAGCAGGCCCGGTCAGCAGTCCCGGCCAACCGGGGCCTGCCACGCGGCAAGACCACGTCGCTCCTGAACGGGCCACGTTGGCGATCCGCGTGGGCGCGATCGGACGACCCAG